GGGACGCAGCTTTCTGTCCGACGTCGTGGAACGGGACTGTACGTCTCAGCTCAGAGCTACGCTCCCATACGCCACTAGGACAGAGCCAGGGGACGTGTCTCCTGGATGTCCACGTCGGACATTGGCCTCTCACAGAGCTCAAGCGTTGTGTTGCTCACCTGTGCGATAAAGACCACATGTTTCCCGCTGAACTTCTTCTCCAGCTCCCTCACTAGCCGGACCTGGATCTTCTGAAAGGACTTGAGCTGAGGAACAGGAACGAAGATGATGATGGCCTTCCTGCTGCCACCAACTTCAATTTCCTGAACAAAGAAATGAAAAACAAGAACACCTGAACCAAGAAGACCAGTCAGTATCACCAGCTCAACTTTACAACAGAAAAGTTCAACTGAAAATCTGCATCCTGCACAGGTTGTCTCCCCATGTCCAACAGTGTGTCCTGCATGGTTTGTCTCCCCAGTAACGGCCCCAAAGGACTCTGGGAAGGTGTAGGAATATGCAGGACGCCGGTCCTCACCGGCAGAGCCGGGGACGCAGCTTTCTGTCCGACGTCGTGGAACGGGACTGTACGTCTCGGCTCAGAGCTACGCTCCCATACGCCACTAGGACAGAGCCAGGGGACGTGTCTCCTGGATGTCCACGTCGGAGGACAGAACAACCCAGTTCTGTTCAAACTACCAAACGGGTAAAAGAAAAGTGTCTCACCTTTGCTGCTGTGATGTTCAGCTCTCTGAGCTGAGCCTTCAGGTCAGAGTTCATCTCCAGCTCGAGCAGAGCCTAAAGGCAAACAGCAGGTCCAAACATCCGAATCAGAACAAGCTTCATCATCATTGCACCAAAATACAGTGAATTATCCTGATGCATGCTCAATAATCCAGGTAGAAAAATAATCCAGGTAGAAAAATGTTCAATCTGGTCCTCTGGACATTCTGGAATGTCCAGAGGACCAGATTGAACATTTTTACAGTGAATTATGTTGAGGTTCTCCTTAGGAGAGACAAGGATGGAGAAGATCAGGAATGAGATCATCAGAGGTACAGCACAGGTTGAACACCTGGGAGATGAAGTTAGAGAGGACACACCGAGATGGTTTGGACAATCTCTGAAGTGCCGGAACAAACACGCGCAGGTCTGTCTCTTAGTTCCACAGTCCATGGAGCAGGAAAAGAGACGGAGTGACCAGAGACGGAGTGACCAGAGACGGAGTGATCAGAGACGGAGTGACCAGAGACGGAGTGACCAGAGACGGAGTGACCAGAGACGGAGTGACCAGAGACGGAGTGACCAGAGACGGAGTGATCAGAGACGGAGTGATCAGAGACGGAGTGACCAGACGGAGTGATCAGAGACGGAGTGATCAGAGACGGAGTGATCAGAGACGGA